CATATATTGCCTTGATTATGTTGAGTAATGTTTCTACTATACCCAATTTGTTTAAGGTTTTTATCATGAAAGTATGTTGTATTTTATCAAATGATTCCTCTGCATCTATTCAGGTAATCATATGGTTTTTAGTCTTTGTCAATGTGAGGTATCACATTTAATGATTTGTGTATCTTGAAACATCCCTGCGATCCCACTTGGTCTGGGTGAATGATCATTCCGATGTGTTATTGGATGCAATCCGCTTGTATTTTGTTGAGAATTTTTGTGTCATGTTCATCAGGGGTATTGATCTATAGTTCTCTTTCTTTATTGTATCTGTTTCTGTTTTTTGGAATTAAGGTTGTGACAGCCTTATAGAAGGAGTTTGGAAGGGATGCCTCTCCTGTAATTTTTTGAATAGTTTGAGAATTTGAATTAGTTCTTTTCTAAAAGTCTGGTAGAATTCAGCACTGAAGCCATCTGGTCCTGGGCTTTCCTTTGTTGGAAGGGTCTTTATTATTGATTAAATCTCTACCTTGGTTGTTGGTGTTTTCAGGCTTTCTATATAATCATGACTCACTTTTTGTAGACTATGTGTGTCCAGGAATCTATTCCAGGGGTCCAGATGAGATGGCAGCTTCTGAGAGCAAGCTGAGAGCAGACTGCAGCAGCGAAGTCACTGGGGATATTGCATGAGGGAAAACCTTGTGGACCACACCGATTCTGAGTCCTATCTGTAGTCCTAGTAGGGGGCAGGGTGCCCACCTATTCCAGTAAGGGGGAAGCACATATTTTCTCGCCAACCAACGAGAAGCAGGCATCATCTTGACACCAGTACATATAGGGGATTTTACCAGAGGGAAAACTCTGCATTCCCCGTTGATTGTGAGTCTGGCTGGGAGGGTTGGCAGAAGGCTGGGCATCCACTTAGGACTGTGAGGTTCTCCAATTCTTTCAACCTATTTCAGGCTCTGGGGCTCAAACTGCTAACGTGGAGCACCCCCATACAGCTGGCCTGGGAATGCCTCTGCTCTCTGTGGATGGGTAGGCTAGTGGGGCTGTGAGCAGATCCTCTGCACCCCATGACTGTGAGAGTGTTGTGTGCTGTGACCATGGGAATTCTGTCACTGCACGCTAGGGCATGGGTTATAGCTGGGTCTTGGGCATTCACTGTTTTTGGTATCAGAGGTTCATAGATCTCCAACAGACTGGGGTGGGTCATCAAGAGTTCCATGGTCACACTGAGGACAACAAAGATCCTTTGTGCCATTCATGCACTAGTGTGGGTGTTCCCACTGTGGGCTAACTCTGGGCACTGATCACCTTGGAAAAGAGGAGGTGAGGTCATGATTACATCAACAGCTATGACCATACCTTCCTCTGCTGACAATAGAAGAGATCCACCATGCTCAACTTGGGTATCACTCTGTATTCTCACCCCATCCTTGGGTACAGACCATAGCTCCCTGACCCTACCCAGCACACGACACTGGGTATTTCCTGAAGGAGCATATCCCCTCTAAGCCACAGAGGCATAGTTCAAAGATAAAACCCAACAGAGAAGAAAACCAACAAGTATTTACACAAATACCTAACATGAAAGAACAGCTTTGCCAAGAGATTGAGATACTGAAGAGAAGTTAAACTGAAATATTATAAATAATGTATTCAATATGTCAAATAGAAAATACAGAGGAAAGCCTTAAAGCCAGAGTTGGTGAGACAAAAGAAAGAATATCTCACAAATCCTTAGAAATATCTCAGGACCCTCCCCCCAAAACAAAGAAAAAATTAGAAAAACTGAAAACAATATTCATGATTCATGGGATACTATCAAACAAACATGTATGCCTTAATAGTTCCTGAAGGTGTGGAAGAAGAGAAGTATCAGAAGGCCTATTTAGTTTAATAATAGCAGAAAGCATCTCTAGCTTGGAGAATGAAATGGACGTCCAAGTAGAGGAAGCATTGTACTCCTAAAAGACATGATCAGAAAAGATCTTTACCATGACACATTATAGTCAAACTTTCAACAGTAAAACATAAGATTCTAAAATGTGCACAAGAGAAACACAAGATTACATTCAGAGTATATTAGAGGATTAGACTAACAGCTGATTTCTCATTGCAAATCCTACAGGCTAGTAGAGAATGGACACATAGTCTAAGACCTAAAAGAAACTGTCAATCCAGAATTCTATACCCAGTTAAGCTCTCATTTATGAATAAACAGTGAAATAAAGACCTGCCAAAAAAACCCCAAGAATTCAAAGAATTTTATACCATTTGTCCATCCTTTCAAATGACTCTTAAGGTTGTACTACACAGAAAAAGAGAACTATAGTTATCATTATGAAAGAATGTGAAGTCAGAAAATCACCTAGTAAAAGTACAAAAGAAATCCAAAGCAAAAAACATGAATATGTAGGGAAACATGGCAGGACCAAATAGTTACTTATCAGTAATAATCTAAATGTAAATGGCCTAAACCTCCAATTAAAAGATACAGACTTGCTCAATGGATTAAAAGACAACTAACTGAGCAGCAAAGGGGAAACCTGTTGAAGTGAAATGGACACTATGAGAAACAGTGACTTGATCAGCTCTTGTCCTGACTGTTGATGTACAATGTAATACTTTATCCATTTTAGTATTTTCTCTTTGTTTTGTTCTAGTACTATTGGTTGAACTCTGTGATTAACACACAATTATTCTTAGGTGTTTAAATTTTAACTGAAAAATGATCCCTGTTAAATATAAGAATGGGAATAAGAGAGGGAGGAGATGTACAATTTGGGACATGCTCAATCGGACTTGCCCCAAATGGTGGAGTTAGAATCATGCCAGGGGATCCCAATACAATCCCATCCAGATGGCATGTAACAATACCATCTCACTAGTCCAAGTGATCAATTTCAGTTCACAATTGATCACACTGATAGGTCTAAGAGTCAAAGGGATCACACAAACAAAACTAGTGTCTGCTAATACTAGCTGATAGAATCAAAAAGGGAGAGAACAATCCATCATTGGAAGCGGGATACACAGTAAACTCATAGAATGGCAGATATCCTAAATAGCACTCTGGCCTCAGAATCAGCCCTTAAGGCATTTGGATATGACTGAAGAGCCCATGAGAGTATTTTAGGCATGGAAAGCCAAGACACCCTGGAAAAAAAAAGGAAGACCTAAATGGAAGATCTGCGAGTGAGATCCCAGTGGAAAGAATGGGGCCATCAAAGAAGGAGGTATCTTTCTCTGAAGGGAGGAGAGAACTTCCACTTTGACTATGACTCTGTCGGAATAAGATCAAAGTCGGCGAACTCAAAAGGCTTCCATAGCCTTGGCAACTTATGACTAGAGCCTAGGGTGATTACTGACGCCATAAACAAGAGTGTCAAATTGTTAAGTCAACAACAGGAGTCACTGTGTACTTACTTCTCATGTGGGATCTGTCTTTAGTGTGTTGTCCAATGTGAAGTAATGCTATAACTAGTACTGAAACAGTATTTTACACTTTGTGTTTCTGTGTGGGTGCAAACTGATGAAATCTTTACTTAATATATACTGAATTGATCTTCTGTATATAAAGATAATTGAAAATGCATCTTGATGTGAATGGAATGGGAGAGGGAGTGGGAGTTGGGAGGGGTGTGAGTGGGAGGGAAATTATGGGGGGGTGGGAAGCCACTGTAATCCATTAACTGTACTTTGAAAATTTACATTTACTAAATAAAAAATTAAGAAAAAAACAATACCCATCTATTTGTTGCCTATTAGAATCATACCTCAAAAACATAGATACATGCATACTGAAAACAAAAGGATGGAAAAATATATTGAATGCTAATGGAAAGCAAAAATGAGCAGGTATAGCCATCATAGTATCAGACAAAATAGTCTTTAACAGAAAAATTGTTAAAAGAGGGGGCAGCGCCATGGCTCACTTGGTTAATTCTCCGCCTGAGGCGCTGGCATCCATATGGGTGCTGGGTTCTAGTCCTGGTTGCTCTTCTTCCAGTCCAACTCTCTGCTGTGGCCCAGGAGGGCAGTGGAGGATGGCCCAAGTGCTTGGGCCCCTGCACCCAATTGGGAGACCCGAAGGAAGCACCTGGCTCCTGGCTTCGGATCAGCACAGCGCGCTGGCCATAGTGGCCATTTGGGGGGTGAACTAACTGAAAGAAGACCGTTATTTCTTTCTCTCTCTCACACTTTCTAACTCTGCCTAATAAAAAAAAGAAAAATTGTTAAAAGAGACAAAGAAGGGCACTATGTAATGATTAAGGGATCAATCCAGCAGGAAGATGTGACTATAACAAATGTATATGTACCAAATAACAGGCACCTGGATATTTAAAACAAATGTTAATGGATCTAATAGGAGACACAGACTCCAATACAATAGTAATGGGGAACTTCAACACCCCACTTTCATTAATGGACAGATCAAATATACAGAAAATCAACAAAGAAACAACAGAGCTAACAGATACTATGGGCCAAATGGACCTAACTGATATCTGCAGAACATTTCATTGCATAGTTGCAGAATACACATTCTTTTCACCAGTGAGAATAGACCACATGATAGGCCATAAAGCAAGTCTCAGCTAATTCCAAACAAAAAAATTTAAATAATATCATGTATCTTTTCTGATCACTGTGAAATGAAGCTTGCATTTAATAACTTAAGAATCTCTAGAAATATGCAAGCACAAAGTCTGAACATGCTCCTGAATGAACAGTAATAGAAGAAATCAAAATATAAATCAAAAAATTCCTGGAAACACTCATTTCAAATATTATGGGCAATTATTTTATTGCTTGTAATAAAAATAAATTGCCAAATAAACCTATATAAATTTGTTCTGGTGGATCCTTTGACCAGGAATTAGGAGTTGTATAAAACATTTGCTCAGCAGTGAAGCTAGCTATATTCTTAGTGATAAAATTTATTAAGTGGTTTTAACAGTGAAATATTATATAGAAAATAATTAATGTAGTTGGAAAATACTCACTTTGTTCTTGAGGGTAGGTTTTCGTTTGAAGAGACTGGAACTCATAATATGGTATCTCATGTTTGAATATGGATGTAAGAACACCATCAAGTTCTTCAATGTATTTCTGTTTTCAGATGAAAGGGAAATTTTCTATTAGTTCAGTCATTTGCATATAAACTTGTCTTAGTACAATATAATAAAAATTTGCCAGTTGCTATAAATATTGGATACTCTTTAGTAGCACAAGTTTTTTGAAAGAACAATGGAAACATTAGGGGCTTACCTAAGTTTTTTAAGATAATAGGAAAATGAATGCACGAAATAAAATCCCCTCATTTTCTGTGAGTAATGATAACTTTATTTAAATATTAATTTAAAACAATATCATAATAGGCCAATAACACTAAAATTGATTTCAGTATTAAATTCTGATAAAACAAATGGTACCTCTTGTTAAGTGAAATAACAAAAATGATAGTTTGTATCTTTGATTTAAAATAGGTGGGATAATCATATAGATTGTATTATTTCTGTGTCTAATTGAGGGAGAATATTGCTTCCCCTGCCCCAAGGCAGATAAACAGTAACTATATGAATATAGCTACTCTCTATTATAGAGATCAGGATTCTTTAAAAATTGTACTATATCACAAATGTTGCAGAAAAATATGCAAGATATTTATATTTAATTGAGTGGTGGGTAAAGGGAAACAAGAAGATATATGTTTTTCATATTTCACTCAAACTGCTTAAATGAGGATACCAAAATATAAATTATGCATATGTAACATCATATCTAGAACAACCACTAAATATGATGTGCAAAGGAATACAATTAAAATACCAATACCAGGGATTAATAAAAGTATAAGCAACTTACAGGAAAGTAAAAACAAAATCAGAGAAATAAAAAGAGAAAAAAGACAGCCAACTAAAGTCTTAAAAAAATTAAAGACACAAAAGACAGATACTGGTAGAGTGGATTTAAAAACATGACCTAACTTTATACATTCTTTAAGGCGCTCACTTCAAATAAACAAGATTGATATAGGTTGAACATAGAAAAATTTCTATAAAGTTATATCATGCAACCATTACAAAGAGAAGCTAGGATGGCTGTATTAATATAAAAATAGAAAAAACAAAATTACAGGACATAGATAAGGCCATTATATGATACAGGAGTAAATCCACAAGATGATGCACTAACTTTTTAAAATTTGTTTGAAAATCAGAGTTACATAGGAAGGGAGAGAAATAACGAGAAGGAGAGGGAGAGGGAGAGGGGAGATCTTTCATCTGGTGTTTCACTACCCAGATGGCCACAATGGCTAGAACTGAGCCAGGCAGAAGCAAGGAGTCAGGTGCTTCTTGCAGAGCTCCCATGTGAGCAGCAAGGGCTCTGACACTTGGCTCATCTGCTAATGATTTCCCAGGCCATTAGCAAGGAGCTGGATTGGAAGTGTAGTAACTGGGACATAAGTGGGCACCCATATAGGATTCCAGAATTGCAGGTGGCAGCTTTACCTGCTATGCCACAACATCAGCCCTGACCTTCTAATTTCAAATATGTATGCACCACAGAAAAAAAGCTGAAAAATATGTGAAGCTAAAACAGACAGAACTGAAAAGAGAAAAAGACAAACCCCCAACAATAGTTGGAAACGGAAACAACTGTTTCAATAATTGATAGAAAATGTAGACAAAAAATTAGCAAGAATATAGAAAAATGAAAACACATGTAAAATTTATCCAGCCAGCATCTTATCAAATAACATAGACCACTCTATAACAGGATAGCAGAATAAACACTTTTCATGGATCTGTGGAACTTATACCAAGATGAATTATATACTGAGATATAAATATCAACAAATTTAAAATCTCTTATATCACTTGATAAACGAGATTTCTGACCACACAGCATCAAACTAGAAATGAAAATAAAGGTCTTAAACATTTAGAAACCAAACAACATCAGTTGTGGCCCAAGATTCAAAGAAGATTCAAAGGATATTTAAAAAGACATTGAACTGAATGAAAGTGAAATACAACACATCAAAATTTGTGTAACACACTTAAGCCAGGGCTTTGAGGAAATTTTAATGCACACTACAAAGAAGAAACATCTCAACTCTGTCATCCAGCCTTCCTTTCAAGGATATAGAAAAAAATGATATCAAATTCAAAGCACACGTACAGGAGAAAATAAAACTGTAACAGCAGAAATGAATGGACTTGAAATTATAAAAACAATAGAAAATCAATGTGACAAACGATTTTTTTAGAAGAGTAAAAAAATTATAAATTTCTAGCAAGAATAATAAAGGGGATAAAAGGGGAGGAGATACAAATTACACATATCACAAATGAGACAGGATATCACTGCAGAGCCTTCAAACACTGAGAGGCAAACATGGGTAGCCTAAGAACAACTTTAAACACTAAAATTTGACATCTTAAATGAAACACACTATTTACTTGATAAACTACCATAACTCACAATCTCACCCAGCTCTATCTTAGAACCACATGTGAATCTACAATTATCTAAAAATTAACAGTTCACTTAAGGACAAAGAACCATTTTCCTCCAACAAAATAGATTTCATGACACAAAGCTGAGTTCCTAGAGATGAGTAGATATTTGCACAGTAGCACCTATTCAAAGCTGTTCTGTTCTCTGATGAGGAGTGTGAATGCTACTTGCATGTGGTAGCTTTCAGAGACAGACTTGAAAGTGATGTCCAGGCAGTCTCACATAATGCAAGCAGTTGGAAGATACTTTAGATGTTTGGAGTGGTGTGAAAGGATATATGGCACAGGTGTACAGTAATTCCCTGCAATGAACAGACTCAGAGTGTGTAACAGGTAATGATAACTATAATGCACCAGGTTTTATATAATTTATGTCTAATTATTTTTAGCATCCTGAAGGCGTATTGCTTTTAAACGTCCACTCTTATGGTAATCATGATAGAAACGATTCAGTAACATCCAAAGTAGCCGAACTAATAGTAGTAGAATAAGAGTTCTAATCGATGCCATCAAACCACAAACATACTACATTTAACACTACCTTCTAATCGTGGAGAAAGTATCTATCATAGTGTCAGAGTAACATAAAGAGTATATTCTGGTTCCGTCATTGTAAGATGACTGTTGCTCTTCCAAACATCTGTTCGAGCCAGAAAGAGCCAGGACAGTGGCACTTGTGCTGGGGGCAGGGCAGGGTAGGGACATGGAGACCTGCTGCCAATCAGATCTATTCTTTTCGTTGTTTAAGCAGAAAAGCAAAAGCTCCAGATATATTTGTGCTCCACCATTTAAAACTCTCACATCTAGCCAAGAAGATGCTTAAAATGTTGGAATCTGGCCTTTGCAGCTTCAATAGTGAGGGTAGACAAAAGGAAGGGGTTTTCTGCAGTGATTACAGGCGAAGTAAAGAAAAAAAAATGTGACACAGAAAGAGTAACAATAAAGAGCTTTGATGAACAAGAAAAACAATTTAAATGAAATAACCATAGAAACTTTGTGAAATGTTCATGACAGAAAGAAAAATCCATTAGTATTTGAGACTGTTACTCTTGCAGTATCTAAAAGAAAAGCCTATAGTTGAGCTGAACACAGTCTGGTTTTTCTTATTATAACAAATTGCTGAGCTTGTTTAAGTTTCACTAGCAAAAGAAAAGCCACCCTGTTTGTTCCATTGTTCATAATGTGTGCTGTGAAAGAGAGCCAAAACAGCCATTTAAAGTGGAATTTGATAAATAGTTTACATAACCTATTTTCAAAATTTCCTACTGCATTGTGTAAAGAAAATGATAGGTAAAAGAACAAAGCAAATATTTTCTAGGGTTATGCAAAGACACTTTTAAAAAAATCTTTACAAGTACTCAACTCCAAGCAGTTCATCTAAAAGAATAATTTAAGTAAGTAAGTCTGAGATAATAGATATTTTCCTTTGTTGGTATAATCTTTCTAAGTTTTAAATGAATCATTTCCTAGAATTGAAACATGTCTATGAATATAAATGCAAAAATAAATATAACAGTGCAAAATGCGCTGCAATTTAGGACCTTCTTCAAATGATTTTATATGTATTATTGGTTAGGTATTCATATATTTGTAGAATCTCTTTATGTAACTTGAAAATGATATAACATGAAGAAAATAGGTTTTGAAATTCAAAACACTTGTCTGCTCCAGGACTCAGCAGCTATGGACTTTAATAATGCACATAACCAATAGAATTAGGAATTCAAATGATTCTATACTCTCCGGTAAATACTAATTTTCTCTAAATGTTGTGATGCAAACTCTCAGACACAATTCACAAAATGCAATCACTGTATTCCAGCAAGTAAATCAAAGAGGAATCTTGGTTTCTCTACCTTGTTTTTCCACTGACTGAAAAATACATTGGTCTCATTTTTTAGTTTTTTAATTTTATTTTTCATCTTTTTAATAGCATGCAAGTTTTCTGTTGTAATAAGGTGACAACGGCTTAAACAGGTCAGAAGCCTCTCAAATATAAGCTTGGAATGAGGTAGTCCAGGTCTGATGTGTGGCTCCCTGGATTTAGGAATTCATTCTCTTTCTACCTTATTTCAAAGTTTTATGTCAGCTCTATGGCCCAAGATGGTTCATCCATTATTTCACTGTTAAAATTCCAGGCAGTTGAAAGAAAAATGTCAGTGACTGAGTAAGTATTACTTTAACTATCTTTTAATGACATGCTCATAATTTTTCACTTATCACTTGTGCTGACATGCCATGCCATTGGGAATTACTTAGTCACATGGCTACACCTAGCCAGAGTATAGAAATGTGTAGTATAGAAATGCCATATTTCTCTCAGTGGGTATGTGCCCAGAATATCCTGCACAAAAGGAAAAAGTAACACTTGGGAACAACCAACAGTGTTTGAACCTGCATCCGTTATGCAAAATTGGGGCCAGCATTATGGTGTAATAGGTTAAGCCACCACCTGCAATGCCAGCATCCACAGTGAGTACCAGTTCCAGTCCCAGATACTCAATTTCCAATCCAGCTCCCTGCTAATGAGCCTGAGAAGGCAGGAGAAGAAGGTCCAAGCACTTGGATGAAAAATCTTTTACTCTG